TCTCTCTCTCTCTTCTTTTTGTTTTTTTTTTCAAAAAATTCAAATTCAAATTCAAATTCAAAAAACAAAACCAAAAAACAAAATCTTTCGAAACCCCTAAATCTACTGTCCGTTAACTGCTCCCTACTCCATACAACCAGTACTCGGCGTACGCTACGGTGAACAAAGCGGGGCCTAAGGGCTACCAGTCTGCTTTACGCAGTTTATGGGGCTCCCCTTCCCTAAGCGAATGAATTGCCGCGAGTCAAAGTTCAAGCTTCGTACATCCCTTTGGCCTTCCCGAACAAGATTAAGCTGTTTCTGAAACTTAACCTTTTGTGTGTGGGAGCGCACGAGCCATTTTCTCTTGCTAATTTATGTCGTACACTGCATTAGAATTTGTCAGGTGATATTCGGCATGGTCATATGGGGTGAATTGTAGATATACTGTACACTTCAATTCACATTTCATAGACACATTTCAGGATAGCTCTGTCCAGTATTTGGGTTAGCACAATAATTCCTTTTCAAGCAGTGTACAGCAGTATGGACTGGTCTCCCCCACTGCATGCTACTGAATCGTGCCTTTTCGGTTCTGTAATAGGCTTGTATGGGTGATTGATTTGTCTTTTTGTCACTGGAAGGCTATAACCCCTACCACTAACTTGAGCAAAATCAAGTCCAGATACCTACCAGTAGCTGGGTGTGTATCTACCGAAATCATGGGAGAATTTGTGAATATTACATAATACCACTGATGTATAACTAACATCCATTGGAACCGGCCCTCTCATTCTCAAGGCTACCTGCTGGTACTAGATTTCTTTGTTCTGGAGTGAAGGCAATGATTTAACTAGCGGACATCATCGTCTAAGGAGCAAAGCCCTGGCGATCTTGATCTGATATCGGAACGAGCAATCTCCTAAACATCTTGGGACGGATGACCTCAGTCTGAATCATTTCTATGTCATAGTTGTGGCCAGAGCTGCCATTGACATTGATCAATATTACGTATTTTTGGACAAGATTTGCTTCCTGAAAGCAGCTCCATATCGCAGTAGTAATCATTGCTATGAGTGGAACCTCCCCTTACCTCAAAACGACTGTTTCCTGCTATTTTGCCTACTCATGAGCTACTTCATGAGAAGCTCAGGTCGAAGATATCAGCGACTCAAGTCAGAAAAAACTTGGCATACTACACAAAGTATCAATCCACAGATAAGCTACCGTATAGGTTGTATCAACGTACACAGAAGTGAGATTGTACCGATCTAGTATCGAACCCTTCGAATTGCATCACATCGACCGATCTAATCTGAAACCTTATCGAAAACCCAATTCGCCCCATACATAAGGATGACGGCCATCTGATGTCAAAAGTGCGTTGGGATGGGGGGACTGAAATGCTTAAATATTCGCTATTGTTCCCACTCCATAGCATTCTACATATATGCCCATAACAAATACGTTGTATATCCTTTATGAGATCGCCGATAGTTTGAATAACCATGTCGAACCCTTACGAAAGAGAAGCCGAAGACCGCTACGAGGCTCAGAATGATTCCTCCCCTGTTTCTGGAACAGTCAGAGATAATACCTACGCCCATGAAACGCGTTCCGAGCTAAGGAGTCAGATCCCTGTTCAAAAGGACGAAGATGTTGAAGAAGATCCTATCCAGCCTCCATTCTCCAACAGTACGCAACAACTAGGTAAGGTTTTATACTTGTCCAGCGTTCGCGAGGCTCGCTAACCAGCTTGCAGAGAACGACGAAAGAGAGGCTATCGACAGAAGCAACATCTTACGTGGCGACCGCTTACGTCACGCAAAGCCCCGTACTCAGGATGGATATAGTGAAGGACGTGATGAGGACGATCTACCCGAGGATGTTCGTTATGGACAGTCTGGAAGATCTGCCACGGGTGGAATTTTCTAATGCTTTAAATCATTAAAGGCCTGATGTGTAATTCATCTTAAGTGAAACCGTGGGTAATGTACTGTGCCATAATGTACTCGACAAACAAATATTGTTTTAGTTGCATGGTTATTGATTTGGTACTTGGCAATCGCATAGTGTGAAATCAGCCGCCACAGAGCCTGAGAGAGCTGATTATTATCCTCTAACCCATAGTTTGCATCTAGTAATCTGATGCATATCACACAGGTGCATTAGCAACACGGCTATGACACTGCCCTCGCGCCTTGAGACTCTTGGAAGATACTAGCCGTAGGACGACCCTTCCGGGTTGATAGTAATTTCCGGGTTAGGCTACGCATATTTGTGATGCGTCTTTCATGGGGCTGCCTTGGGAGAAGCGAGGAACGCTAACTCCGGAATCTATCGAATTCTCTTTCTGTAGATACCCGACAAGTTGATCTTATGTCTACTGCACGATTGGCTTCTCCGTCCACTTCGAAGAGGCACAGACGACCAAGTTGATGGAGACCCTAGAGTCCGCGAGTTCTCATGACAGGACACGCGTCTGTTACTGTGTCAGCGCTTAAGTTGAGCTGAGCAGGAATGGCAGATATACCACAAATTGTTCCAAAGACTCCTCGAAAAGCTCATTATTTACACCCACACCGCCTGGATGTTCGACCGGGGACAACGGATTCTTGACCACTAAGACAATATCCTCACATTAGCGTCCGGTGAAGTCTTCCAATTCGTGAGCTTGCATACCATATTCAACATAAAGATTGATATAGATCTGCTGCAATGCAATTCGCATGCTTGGACTCTTGAGATCGGTAAGCATTACGAATTTGATGTTGGTAGGCGTCTCGTAATAATGGAGCTTGTATTGATTGGTATGGTAGGTAACGAAGCTGAATGCCATGTTTCGACCGTCAGTATCAACCTCTTCTCCTGAGTTAGCAGTCGTATGGGGTATTGCGCTCACCTATCATCCTCACCCCCCAATTTGCGCACCATATTCCGGAGGGAGAAGACGGTGCCGAAGATCAGCTTAGCATCGTCATCGGTAGTCCGCGCAGATTGACCCAGCACGGAAGGCAATGCATTGGGAGTGGCAGATGCTTCTGAAGTTGGGCGCGAGGATTTTCCAATAATCGAAGGTGGACGGGGCACCCAACGTCGTTTGTATATACATTCCGCTAAGAAGTGAGAGCAGTCAGTATACCTTTGCTGAGGGTTGGTTAAGAGGCAGAGGCACGTACCATGGCGGTCAAAAATGTAGAAGGAATAAACAACCATTACGGTCAGGAGATAGCAGACAATTCACCACAGAAGTATACACGGAAGCTGACCTGACAAAGGGGAATTAAAGTGCGGAGATCTATAGGGGAGAAGGTTGTTATACAAAGATGTGCCCCCAGAGACCGTTGAATTAGGCTCGTTTAGGTGGACGGATCGGTATGCTCGTGGGCGGTGAGCGGTCCAAAATAAGATCAGATGTTTTGTTTATCGATAAAGATTGACTTGTGCCTGAGGATCCCAATTAGAAAGTGGAAACTATCAAGATTCCCTTTTTTTCTTCCGTGTTTTATTTATAGGTATATCTATATACTGTAGTGGCATCCTTCTTATTTCCCTCTAGTCCCTATTTCTTCTTCATCTCTGTTCCCTTCCTTTTTCTGCGTGTCTTCCCCAAATTACAGGTTCGACCGCCTACTATATCTCCTATAGGTCCATTACAACGTCCTAGCGTTGTCGCCTCTTGTTCTCTTGTGCAGCCCACTTTCTTCCCCACATCTGCCTAGGCATCCGGGTTTCGCGTGTCTGCTCTCTCAACGGAGAATTAGACATCCCCAACTTAAACGTTCTCCCTCTGATATTTTGGGGATCTCCCTGTTACCTTTTAGTTGCTCATCGTATTCAATGGCCAACGAAAATGCCTTCCTCTCCTCGCAGGATGCTAATCAATTTTCCGGTGGTCGCCCCGGTCTTCGTCATCCGCGACCAGTTCGTTATGCGTAAGCTCTACAACATCTTGATCTTCTTCTCCCTCTCCATTTTCTATGTTTTGTCTCCTGCGGGTTCCCAGCCATTCTAGTGATTGAGCGGGTTGCTAAAAACCACGGTATCAGCTCGACACCTTCATATGAGAGTCCACGAAGGCATTATCGCCGAAACCCAATAGCTAGACGCCCGGTCAAGGTGGTTCTTCAGAGAATATGTTTCATTTCTCTCTGTAGGAAGCTAACTGGACTGGCGGTAGGAAACTCTGGATGCCCGATCTGAATATACCACCAGCCAGGATGATGGTACCGCTGAACACAGAATCAACCAATATGTTATCAAACAAGAAATTGGCAGGGGCTCTTTCGGAGCCGTGCATCTTGCTACGGATCAGTTTGGGAATGAATACGTAAGACCTTCTTTCTGTCTTGGTAGCTTGGTTATGGACATATATCGTGGCAAAGGAAAAGCAAAACCCCCAGCTAACAGACTGTACACTGAGTAAGGCCGTCAAGGAATTCTCCAAGGCACGGCTTAGGAAACGCGCCCAATCCCACCTGTTACGGAGACCTCGAGGTCCTAAGCGCCCGTCAGATGGCTTCAATTCCCCACTTCACCGTCGTTCTCTGGAAGATCCAGATGAAAAGAGAAATGCCCTTTACCTTATCAAAGAAGAGATAGCTATCATGAAGAAACTGAATCATCACAACCTGGTGTCTCTGATTGAGGTCTTAGACGACCCGACAGAGGATTCTTTATACATGGTTATGGAGATGTGTAAGAAGGGGGTGGTTATGAAAGTTGGGCTTGAAGAAAGAGCCGACCCATATGATGACGAACTCTGTCGCTGTTGGTTCCGCGACCTGGTCCTGGGAATAGAATATCTGCACGCTCAGGGCATTGTACACCGCGATATAAAACCAGATAATTGCCTGATAACGAGCGATGACGTTCTCAAGGTAGTGGACTTTGGGGTATCCGAGATGTTCGAGAAAGACTCCGATATGTTCACGGCGAAATCGGCTGGCTCACCTGCTTTCCTCCCACCAGAGCTATGTGTTATCAAACACGGGGATGTCTCGGGGAAAGCGGCCGACATATGGTCTATGGGTGTTACGTTGTACTGTTTGCGGTACGGCAGATTGCCCTTCGAGAAGCAGAGCATCTTCGAGCTGTATGAGGCTATTAAGAGTGACCCAGTGGCATGTGAGGGGGAAACCGATGAAAACTTCAAGGATCTGATGTCACGGATTCTAGAGAAAGATCCGGCCAAAAGGATCCAAATGAGTGATTTGCGAGTAAGTGGCGCGAGCCTTTTCTACTTCCATAGCAAAGCATTGCTCACAGAAAGAAACTCAGGAACACCCCTGGGTCACAAGGGATGGGATAGATCCACTATTGCCAGAGAGCGAAAATACTGCTGAAATAGTTGGACTCCCTACTGAAGAGGAAATGAATTTGGCTATCACAAAGACGATTGGTCATGTCCTAGCTGTGGTAAGCTCTATACAGACTTGATTGCATCTTGAGGCAAGCTAACAAGGAGCCACAGATGAAAGCCGTGAAGAATTTCAAGAGACTAATTGACCCTGCCAAGGCAGACCCACCTATGCAGAGTATTCTTGGACAAGAGTACGAGACGCATTTTGTCCAACCACCCCTTGAAATGGAACCAGAAGAAAGCTTCGCAGCTGGTACTGTTTTAAATTCCAACAAAAGCCAGAGCCTAAACACATACAACAGAAATGCCTGGCAACGTGATGACGTTCTCAAAGGATATCATCTGAATTGCGATGAACCACGCTTACAACAGCTCCTAGACAACACAGACTCCAGTATCTTTGGGAATCAAGGACCTGTGGTGTCCGATAGCAGTAAGCAGACTGCAAGCGTCGGGCCTGAGAGAAATGACTCGGGCTACATACCTAGCAGCAAAGTACCAGGAACATCTTTCGATGACTTGCAGACCATAACCACACCTGGATCCTCATCTCCTCAAGTTCCACTGTCGAGGACAAGCTCGGTTCTTACTAAGCGCAGCATAGAGGGAACACGTGGACATGCACGAGATCCTTTGGAGGAAGAGTTTCCGTTCTTGTTCATTGGGCCTTCTACTTATACCGGCTCGCCGCCTACGAATACTGGCGACTCTGAGATGGACTACATCTTTGATGAACCGGATAGCATGCTATCTGCAGAACCTTCTGAAATCGACTCATGCCCTGTTGTGAGCGAATCACCGGGTGCAGCAGAGTTTGATATCTATGAGACCGCGTATCGGCAGGAGATTGAGCGTATCCGAATCCGCAGTCTTCCTCGTCAGGGCACTACGCCGAAGGTGTACCTCACTCGACGTGTGGAAGGAAAAGACGAAGTAATGAAATTAGTAGAAGAAAAAATCCCTGGCACAGTCCCCGAAATTGGAAAAAGACTCGCTAAACCATCGGGACCAAGTCTGAGTTCTGCCGTGAGTGCAATAAGGGTTCAGCTAGAGCTGCAAAGGCAACAACAAATGCAAGGCATGGCGGCTAGAACTCCGCACCAAGAATAGGTTCTGTTCACTCAACATTCTGCCTCACTAACTGCATCCATAGCGTTTTCGCTTATCGATACGCTCAACATAGTTCGATGCTTCTCTACCTTGGGGCACGCTACAGCCGTGGACAGATGTCACACTAACCCTTGGAAGTATCGCCGAAATTTGAGCTGTTTTCAAGGCTTTTTCCTTGAGGGCACTTAGAATCTGGGAGAGGACTCTCCACGCGACCTTTGTTTGTGAAGTTATTCCCCTCTGATATCTGCATACTGGCAGCTATGTAATGACAAGTATCTTCTGCTGTCCAAGACTGTATGGCTATGTCATGCTACATACCATACATACATACATACATATATATATATATATATACTTTGTAAGGGCAACAGCGCTTTGTGCACACAATGACGTTGCACAATTTTCCATTCTGTCTGTGGGCAGGTTGCCTGTATTCTTGTAGATGTGAGGGATGTTACGC